ATTAAATGGATTACACACATATTTCATCAGCAAGTAATGGGTGACTTCTGATCACCTGAGGTGTTGTTCAACTTTCCTTTCCACTTTGGCTGACCTGCAGAGTTTTACAGCTGAGGATATAAGACCGATAAAAATCCTCCCTGCAGCGCAACAGCTCCACCTACAACCACCTGTGAGCGGACGTCTTCTTGCTCAGGTGTTTATGAGCCGCTGCTGGGATTGCAGGATTTCATCTGTGGCTGACTCAGTGACAGAGAACTGACTGGATAGTGAGCTGAAAGACAGCAGCTGGCAACTACTTACATCAACACTGATCCTCAGAAACCCCAGACAGACAGACAACAAACACAGCCAAATCCTCAGAGCTGCTTAACAAAGGAATGTTTTTAAAACACTATGCAAATACTAAAACATGTAAAGTTGGAGAGAAGAGATTAAGCCACTGAGACATTAACACAATGTATACAGTGTTATGCAGTCCTTGGAAGCAGTGTAGGATTGTTGCTTTAGCCTCTGGGCATACAGATGTTGAACATCACAACAGTATTTCAAATAGTTTTAAGTCAAAAAGCCTACAGTATACTGCATATATGTCCATTCAATATCATGAAATTAACATGTTTTTGTTGTTATTTTGAATTTTGTGGGAGTTTGATTTCTTTGAATTGACTTTAAACATACCCATACATACTACAAACAACTTGAAAAGTGGGTCATTTCCAGTGCCCAAATTGAATTAAGTATCTCATAATGTCCCATCTGCACCCAGCCTCATTAATTATTAGTTTTCCCCAGCCTCAGTTATCCCTCTCCAATTAAGTATTCATAAGCCCTGTAATGATTAACAATATGTTTTTGGCTAATCTCTATGTCAATTAAGGAGCTTTGTAAGAGATAGTGCACTTTGCCACTTATCTGCACACATTACTAAATTCTCTTTATCGACCTCCAAGGGTTTGTAACTGGTGAGGGTTGATGTTTTATTTGGAGGACGATATCTGTTTTTCTTTCACTATTAGGTGTAAAACTATAATCAGTCAGCGATAGCGAGAGAGATATGAAGGTGGGTCTGTTTTTAGGGTCTTTTTGCTTTCCCTTCTCCTTACTTTAGAACTTTCTTGGTCAAAGCACTAAACATGGAACTTCACTACTCACAGGGCAAATAAAAGTTTAATTTACATTGTTCTGTTTCTCAACAGAATGCATTCTTTGTGTGTGCATCCTTTAGCACTATAAAATCTGTTTAACATCTTCAATCTTCTGAAGATATAAAATCCTGCATTTTTTACATGCTATCAGTCTTCTTCTCTGGTTCGTTGCTACACTCCTTTGCACATTCCCACAACCTACTGTCGATCAGCGGATTAGCTGAAAATGGCGGCAAGAAATGTGAGAGAAACAAAACAGGGACCCACTCATAAAAACATTGCTCCATAGCGCTACTTGTGGTCAAAAGCTCCACATAGTACCTTTAAAGCCTCTTCTATGTGTAAATACATGTAGGCTTTGAACATTTTTGACCTTGGCACATCCAGCAGTATTACCAAAAAATACACTGTGGCTGTGGATACGTTTACAGTATAGAGGATTTTGACATTGTCAGACACCATATAATGACTGTAGATTTGTCACAATTAAAAAAAAGAGTGCTGACCATGCATAGAAAGATGACTTAACTTTTGCTGAATGTTCTGGAATCAAATCAAATGATATGGTTTATGTTTGACATAAAAGAGCCATAGTTTATCAACTTCAAATTCAGGCTTTTGTAATGATACAAAGTGACTGAACCACTGGATAGACATATGTTAATATGTATATTAGATTTAAGTTAGCAGCTAAAACGAGTATGGTGACATTGTGAGTCAGTATGACTTAGGAAATATAAAATGGTTATTCTTCAAAGCACACTTGTATGTTGCAGTGTATGCCTAAATGCATGAATTGCTTAGTTTAAGATAGTGAGATTGCAAAATTGGACTCCAAACAACCATGTTTGAATAAGCATCAGGGCTGGTTCTTGCATCTGTCATTGTGTCCTGACATGACTCATATCTGGCCAGAGCTAAAACCTGCCTAACTAGCAATAACCAGTTTTGCAGTTTTCACACGCTAGCGCAAAGATCCACCTGCCAACCCTGGGGATCTAGTTTATCAACTTCCTGCATAAGCATAAATGCAAGGTGGGAATTGGGAAGGGGTCACAGCACCCCTATGACCTTATCATCTGCCTTAACTAGAGTGGTCTCATTTCGCAGATGATGTGCAAATATATATTCATGTATACTCTTCAGTACATGCTATGAGGAAGACTCGTGGGTTTCCCTTTAGCCCCTTTTTAGTGGTGTTCCCAGTGTGGATTTCTCCACTGAGAATTTCCTTTGTATAATACCTGTTTTCTAGGGTGTGCTTTCACAGGCCAAATGGAGATGCATCCTTCAATAGGCCAAATTGAAAAGGCATGTTGGGAAACAGTCAGATGTGCACTGAACATGGCACATTTACGGTATAACAAAATCCAGCGAAATAGTGACCGAAATGGAGGGTTGATGTGACAGCATTAAGTTGTCATTCTTGTCTCCACAGAATGAGCACCTTGTCACAGAGGAACTGATTAAGACAGCTACTTGTACGGCTGTACAGTTCTGCTACTATTCAAGATCTGTCCCATTTGCATTTGAGAGCTATTGGAAGGCCGTAATTCAGCGGGCAAATACTTCCACACCCCAGGGCTCTACAGTGATAGTGTTTGCATATGCCCCTAAAAATAGATACGTGCGAACCACAAAAATAGATTTTGAGCATAGTGTGCGAATAAAGACTACAACCTACCGTAACCTTCCAGCACTGGGACAAATCTCTGTGGCTCTGTGGGCCGCTTACGCATTATTAGTAGCTGAAGCGGTAAAACAAAAGACAAGAGGGATAATGTGAGCAAGGTTTGGGTTTGGCTAGATATCTATTTAGCTATATCTGGTGCCTTTTGTTGTTCATGTTCATCAAATAAAACTGCTGTTTTGTCCAACTGGAATTAATATTATAGTATTGGTAATATAGTATACTATTATTTGAAATGATAAAGAATACAGCAACATATAATTAATATGTTGATATTATACTAACAGTATACTATTAAATTAATATTATACTTTTATTTAATGTTATAATTTAATACTAATACACTCTTTTGTACTAGTTTCAGTCATCCAGGTTGTGGATAGTGCATGTGCATTTGACAGATGTAGATTTAGCCAAAGCCAGGATGCCAGTGCTATTGTGCCAATACGTGCGCATTCTAGCCAGCCTCCTCCTGAGAGCAACATGTTCCCCCTGCGTTACTAAAGTTTTTGTTTTTATTGTTATAAATATTGTTTAGTAATCTTGTTCACATTAAGTGTGGTATGGGTTGTGTGTCCCACGTGCCACAAGCTGCAATGCACCAGTAGGGTTTTTTGTGATGAGTGATCAGTGTTTTAAAAAGGTGCTTTCAAAGTGTGAAAGTTCAAAATTTTATTTAAAAAAATCTTTTTCAGTGTTTTAAAATAATGCCAATATTGCTGATGCTAATGCTAATATTTTAAGGCCAATACGGAGTGTCCAGATACTTGCGTTGTCACTTCAAAAGTCCTACTGGTTTTCACATCATCATTGCACATAAGGAGAAGTAGCACACACACACACACACACACACACACACACACACTATGAATATGTACGTAATAAATAGTTTGTTAATAAACTCTATGTTACTTGAACATTTTTCACTGTGCTCTTTGTGTACTCCTAATTATTTTCATTTAAGAGCACATATCTCCTTGGGAAAAAGGTTAGCAAACAGTCCTGCACCCACATTAGCTCACCTACGGGCCTGGATAAGAAAGCTTCTCTTGTCCTCATCTTCAGGCACATCAGTTTGTTTCCAAAGTGCATCCACAAATACTGAGTCAAGTGACATAAATATTGAAGATGCACACATTTTCTAACCCCCTTCTTTTTAACTTTACATGGCACTTGCTCTGTCTGATCAATACTGCCTGAAAAAGTAATCACTTTATCCCCATGCCCACACCATGTTATTATGGAAGGAAATGCTAACTTTTTGACTGGACTTCAGCCTTCCACCTACAACATTTGTTGGATCTGAATATTATTATCTTATTAGACAAGAGATCCAAGGTTTCCATTGTAGAAGCTAGTTGTTTTCAGTGTACATGCAGAGCAGACAGACAGCAGTAATGATGTGACATTCCCCTGCCTGCATGCACACAGCAGGCTAATTATCACGGAAGCAATGATGTTTCCATTCGCCCACTTTAAAAATACGACCACAGGTTGCTGAAAAGGTGGGTTTAGCCTGAAAGGTCTCAAGAGGTTGCTCCACTTTATTTGCATTCATTTGCATCTTGTTTGATATCAGAGTGAAAACCTGGTGCATTGACACTGTCAAGCACAGACAAAATCCAAATTGATATTAATGAGTTAATTAAATTTTTTTGTGTTGAGGCAGCTCAACCTTGACATTAAGATCATATTTTTGAGACAAAACTTTTACAAACGCCTGAAAGATCCTTCAGTGTTGCATTATGTGTTGTTTGTAGCCTTTAAGTTTCTAGGCTAGCAAGTTTCTCTCTGTTCGTCTTCTTGTCTACACTGTGTCTATTAGATCAGCCCTAAATATGTGTTTTCAAAAGCACTGGAAACTTGGTTTAAGTATTTCTCTATAACATTAAATTCATGGCTCACTCATACACTCACTCAATGTAGCCCCACCAAAAATACCAGTCATAAAAGAAAAGGGTAAAATGGTGGCAGAAATGTTTCTGTTAATGCAGGACCCTATCGCTCATGGTAAGGAGTGAGACATTCAGGGGTTTTTAAGGAAAAATGTCCAGTATTATTGTTTTTATTATTCTAAATGTGGTTTTATTTTTATTTTATTTTATAACGGATATGGTATGTACATAGAGTGTGTCAATTAAACCGTTAGGGTCAATGTTTTATCACTATCAACTACTTTGGCTATTTCATTTCTTAATGATGAGTCTATAGCCCGTTGAGACAGGTGCATTTTCACATGGAGATCTTGCGATCGTAAGGTAAAGACACTTGACAGCGACACCATGAGGCCACATGGGATGAGGGCGGGTCCAGGAGGAGTACGGGTGCGCACAACTCGGGTTTGTAGCGCGGGACTGGAGCAGCGGTGTAAACGATCCCAGCTGCTGCCGTGAGGGAATAGAGAGCTATTCCCGTCCCCCGTGGGTTGATCACGTGTCCTCGGGGAGCGTTCAGATTGGGGACCAAGGCTCGAGAGATTGGGAGCGCACCATTGCGCACAGCCGAGTTGGACAGCAACATCTTAAACACGCGTTAATGAACGAGCGGCGAATCAACCAGATCAGTTTTGTTTTGGGGCGTTGTCATATACACTCCACAGTGGCGTGTGATACACAGATCCGTCAGGCACTGACACAGTGCGTGTGATCCTTCAGTCACTGACTCGTCAAAACTTCTGTGCTTACCAACTGCGATCTTGACTGCGAGCGTCACATTATTGCCAGCCACGCTACAAGTCGACATACGGAGCTGTCACGGTGAACCGAGGTAGGCTGTGCTTCTTTCCTGTGGGTCTTGAAGGAATAGACAGAGTAACGTGCACACTGGCTAAACAAAAACACTGTTGGTGTGTGCACTGTGCAAGGCTGTTCAGTGTGAGGCGCGGGATACCGGGTTGCAAAGGCATAATCAGCCATATCAGCTGTCAGGAGTGTATGAAAAGCTGTCCCCCTTGCACAGAAACAAGCAAGATGAAAGCAATCAGTGTTGGGGACTTATCTGGTGATTTGGAAAACAGGAGTGAGTGAGAGAGCAAAGGTGCCCTAGCAAATCTCTCATGTGGTGCGTCAGTGTTACATCATGGACTTCATGTTTGTGCATTTATCTTTCAAAGGGGCCTACAGACCAGTTTAAGAGTGCTTAAACTACACTTACTAAGTGTTCACTTTGGTATCTGGGTGATATTTCTTTGAGGTTGGTTTGTTGAGTGAGATCCTTCAATGGTTAAGCAGCACTGGATGATTTTGAAGCTTGCTGATGGTATTATCACGTTTCCTGCAACCATCAGTTCTGTCATGGTGTAGTAGCACTAAATGGATGTTTCCTGGGGACTGACCTGAGCTGACTTCCAACCACACCCTGATGCCAGCTACAGCAACAGTAACACATAAGGTAGATAGTGTAGGTACAAAGTATTTTCCTTATCCATAAGAACTAAAAAAAACATTTGTATTTTTGTCAGCCACCACAGAGACAATCGGCATTGTCATAGAAGGCATGTTGTTTTTTATACTATACTATACTATTTATAATATAGAGTGCTGTAGGAGTACACTAGGAGACACAATAGAACGAAACACAACTCACTAACAAAACAATATGATCCCACAGTCCCCTTAGGGATGTTACATCATTATGTGGCTCTGATAGTATGTCGGTATGGTTATTGCGGAGACACTGCTGCAGGTGACAGTGGAGGCAAAGTGTGGCTTTGGCTTCAGAAAAGCTGAGTGTAAAATGTCAGCTCCACATCAATAATGCAGGATACCAAAACAATGGGGAGCAAGAAAGTGGGTCCAGTGTTGGCAAGTGTTTACCCCCTGCCTTCCCCTTTCTCTAAATGCTCATTTTAACACTATTGAATAACAAATGTAATTAATATAACCCCACAACCAAACACGTACGCCAATTACGTGGTGTGCTCCAAACTGTGTTCTGTATTCTGTCAGAGCCATTTTTAATGCACTGAGATGGCTATTATACTTTCAGAAAGTGGTGGTTCTTTCATCTTATATAGAAGATGATTTATTTCCCCACTCTCTCTTGCTAATGCATGATCACTGTGGTTAATGAGACAGGTCTCAGCGCACAGGGCCCGACCCTCTCAGAGACAGCGCTGCTAGTTGGGTGAATACAGCTGACACCCTCATTCATCATGCATCTACAAGGTGCTGCCTGCTCTCGCAGTCTATCCATGCCTTCCCCTCTTTCTTGCTCCCCTTTCTTCCTCTCACTCCACAGTCGCACCCTTGGATGATAATTATTAAGACATTATAATGACAACAGCACTGCCTTTTTCTAAGGGAAAGACAGGGCGTCAGCTTCTACGTGCTGGGATGATTATAGCTGGGACAGATGGTTGGCATTCTGTGTTGATGCTGCAGCTGCAATGATTACCTTCTGTACAGTACAGTGGTTGACCGATACGGGTTTTCAATGTACGAAGCCATTGCTGATATTTAGAGAAAGACAAAGACAAGTCATGTATAACTCCATTATTCCATGCAGAGTACAATCTAATACTCATGGTTTTGTAAGCTAGTAACATGTTGTTTTAGAAGGATTTTTATTAATTAATGAAATAGAAAAATACATTGGGTTATGCTGTAGATTTCAGAACATGACTAACTTTTAAGTGAGGCTGGGGTACAGTTTGTTAGAAGTGATGTCATTCAACTGCATTATTCTGCACAGTATAAAAATATATATGTAAGGCTAGCCTGCAATGGTTAGTATAGATCTGCTGTCATTTAGAATAATATATTGCCTTGTGAGTGCAGGTATCGGATGCTGATTATCTTAAAATCCCAGATATCGGCCCAATTAATTGACCCACTCAATAGAGTTATTTATAAAGTTTACATACTCGATTTTGGAATCGCTGCTTCTGCCGCAAAAAAAATGGCCCACCAAATGTTTTTAAGAAGGAACTGAGGACTTTTCTTTGGAGCAATTTCAGTAGCTGTTAAATGTATTTATATTTTCACATATTTATGACCGTCAAATCAAAACTAGATACTGTCTTGCTGTACGATATCTCAGATCTTGAAGTATCTTACTTGAAGCAATAACACTATTAGGATTGTGCCATATTTGTAAATCCCACTACTGGCATTCCACGGCAAAGCCACCATGCAAGATTAAAATGTTAGAGGCGTAACTGACCCACATATAGTGAAACTTAACACCCATGCATAATTAATGCACTCTTGATTAAAATGTGTTAGCTTGGTCATAATATTACAGTCTCCTTTTCGATTACCATAAAACTTCAATTAACCGTTAGTCGCAATTAGACGCCTATTCCTTTTACTGACCTGGTGTGACTACACGTTTTGACAAATAAATGCAGGTCTCTATTAGACGCCGAGTATATAAGTTCTTTTGATGTATAAAACCTCTAAGTCTACCAGGCCGCCCTCTTGAGCATGTTCTAAGCTGCTTAAATCTCACAAATATAAATGCTTTTGTCAATATGAATCGTTCACTTCGTTTTATGGAAACCATGAGCACAAAAGTATAATTCATTCAGATTTGCTGGCATGGTAAACCAGAGAGACAGGGAAAGAAGCAGTGACTCCCTACTTTTAAACCAGTTGTAAAGTCCGGATATGTTTCCATTCCTTGATATTTTGTGTTGCTTTAGTTTGTAAGGGTCCAGCGATCAAAAGAATCATAACGTTCTTTCATAAAAATTAGTTTATTCTACTTGGATATAAGGCTTTCTTTCTCTCTCTGTCTCTCGCTCTCTCTATTTTGCACGAGGTTAGCCTACATGTGCAGTCTCAGTGCTGGATTCAATTAAAGATTAGTAACTGATATGTTATCCTAAAGTAATATTCATACTGGTTTAAATAAACAATTTGATAGTAGTCTATTTCCCATCTTTGCTGAGCAAGAGTTTTATGGGAAAGGAATTAATGGCCTGTCCTAAATATAAGCAGGGGGAGTTCAGTGATTGAAGCAAATAAAAGCTATAGGCTATAAAGGCTATAAATTGAAGTTTTACGGTAAATGCTATATTACTGTAATGCTATAGAGATCACTAACTGCCTGATGAAATATCTTATTCCCAGTTTTTTGTCACTGTCTGTCACAACAGTTAATCTTTAAAATATATTGGTGCTCAGGGAGGTTCTCTGTACGTTTTAATCGCTTTATCCTCGGACATCAGTTGGCGAGAAAGGACACCCATCACAGGAATGTATTCATTCTGGGCTGTCTGTCAACAGCTGATGCCAGTTTGAGTCTGAATGAAGCATTTCTCTGAGAGTCAGCCTCTTGGCCGTGCTTTCACAAGGATCCTCTTGAAACAGCAGGGGGCCTGGCATGTTATTGTCAGCTTTGCTAAAATTGCTTGAAGGATAAAACTCCAGCTTCCTGTTAAAATAAAACCTTGTTGTATAACTTTGATATTGTTGTCTGATTGGTTTTGTTTACATATTTTCATGATTTACATAATTAAATGCAATGGCAACACAAGCACGATGTATAGGCACTTAATGGTAACTGGTCGTGTCAAATCCTTAAGGAAACTGGTCAAAAGTCATCGTTCTTCTCACCAAAATCGTAGTTGTCACCATGACAATATATGCAGGTGTGAAAACCCAGTTTTTAGTGTTCAAAAACCCTGTTGTTGCATCTCTGTTGCTGAATGTGTTTCACTTTTGAAGGATCCAAATTTGCAACGGCACACAAAGCATCCTTTGAACTTTTCAAGAGTACCTCCCCACATCATGTTCCGCCTCAACATCCATTTCATACATCAGATACAGTTTCCTTCCTTACTGCTTATGTCTTCTCTCACCATTTTGCTTTTAGGCCTGTGAGAAATACAGTTAAATTTGCATTGCAGAGTCACGGGTTTCTACTTAATCTTAGTCTTATCTGTTGCTGTCTACACATTCCTCCCTCCCTGTCACCCTTCAGCATGCTGCATCAAACAGGGACCAAAATAAAAACACCAAAAGCCAAATTCATTTCTTGACTCAACTGAACAAAAGGCAATTTCTACAGCCTTCCTGCACTGTCGCCATTTATGTAAAGCCGGCTGTGTTTATGTCTGTGTGCGCCAAGTACATTCATGCATGCCTGCATCTGCGGACCCCTGTGTGAGTGTGGGTGTGTGTCTGTAGATATGTTTCTTATCCAAAAGATTGAAATTATGACAGTGTGACAGAACAACCTCGGGGTAGGCAGGATGCGACTGACACTGGATTGAAAGACACCACACACATCCCTGCCAGCAACACATCACAGCCTCCAGTCGGCATCACAGTAGTTTGCCTTGCCACTCAATGGGAGTTTAATATTCAATTATGAGGGTCCTCTAGTTCAAGCTGCGTTGGATGGCTTGTGGAACAGCCCCATTGATTGATGAGTGGGCATCTTGGCTCACAGTTTGCCCCTGAAGGAGGAAGAAACAAGGCAGATGGCTTGTGGTGGTGTTTTTACTGACGTGGCAGGAGTTTCTTCAGTAGTTTTGCCTTATTAGTGGTATAACAGGAGCACGACGCATTAAAATTTTGTAAAGTTTGTATACAAAAATGGAGCATCAAGGGCGAGGTGTTCTTTCAAAATGCAGGCAGAAGGGTAATGTGACAGTGTCAAGCCTCTGCCTTTTAGTTTGTGGCTGTGAAGGTCTGTCAAACTGTCACAACCAGCTGAGTCCGGAGAAGCGTAGGGTGTTAGTCAACACAGTATTGTGTTGACAAACAACAAGCAGACAGCTTTGAGAGGCGGAGAGTGAGACCGGCGGTTCAGCATTT